TTTGGATTAATAGAATAAAAAAGAGAAAGTGAGATTTCCATATAAAAAGAAAGACACACCTGCAAGAGACTGAGAAGTACTCATTATGGTTGTTTAAAGTTAGCTAGTATGGCTGGGAGGATTCTTCAAACTTGGAACGACATAATATGCTAAAATCTATATACTTCAAATATATAAATATGCACCAATTGAAGTTACCGTCACTATGTCCGAGATGCGGTACAGAATGAGATCATTCACACTTCTCATGTCTCCACCACAGAACAACTCACAAACATTGGCAATCAGCAGTTTCATTATTTACTTCGCAAGTTGGGCATTTGTGATCCACATGCTCCAACTATGTAATTTAGGGCTTTGTTTTGTTACTTATGTGGCACACCCTTGTATATTTATACAATAATGTGTGAAATAGAATATATATTAGGGCAACATGTTTACTGAGTTAATAAAGAAGGGTTACCTTATAGAATGATATGCACTTCTCTATAACAAAATATCAAATTATTTTTTTACATTCCTTTTTTCATTCAAAAAGTACTTTATCCGTTTGTAAATAAACCCTCAATTAAACTAATATGAAGATTTAAAATAGAACCAAATAATTAAAATTTAATTAAACGAGACTAAAACAAAACAAAACAATGTAACTCGTAACCATTGGGACAGGTCAAATTATTTAGAAACTGGAGTAAGTTTATATCATTTTAATGGCATCAATACGTGATTTACAATGTTCACTTTTTGGAATTTGTACTTAATCAACGTTGGCAATGTTCTGACAAATAGAATTTTAGTTTCAATTGTACATTAAAATGTAATTCATATATTACAATTATCTTTTGCGAACTAGGTTAAGAGAATAATGTATTAATGTTACGTCAATAAATTTTTTGAAGAATTTATTTAGAGAAATGAGAGTATATTGGAGAATTTGTCTTGTTATTTGACATTCCATCATTTTAGTGTTGATTTCAGTATTAGATCGGATTTAAATAGACTAGACCAATCTGAATTTAATCACTACTCTAGTTTTTGAAATAGTAAAATATTCATGAAGAAGATATATACCGGGCAAAAACATGTTAGAAAAGAGCTAGAAATGAGCCAATGCATAATTTCTTAGACTAAATTTCCAATTCTCTCTAATAATAATAAAGTTAAATTTGATATCGATAAAATAAATTGATGATTATCACAAGCTTTTCCAAGTATTTTAGATTAGACAAAAAGATACAAATCACACAAGAAGTTAAAATCAAATTAGAAAATTCAAATTATACGAGGAAGATTAAGACGAGATCAAACTAGATTAGGAAGGCTCATATCTGATAAAAAATCAAGATAACATCAAATCAGAATAATCAAAATAAGAATCTACTCCCTCCGTTCCCAAAAATACTTCCCACTTTCCTTTTTGGGCCGTTCCCAAAAATTCTTCCCACTTTCTCTTTTTGGACAATTTGTGTGGCTCACATTCATTTTACCTTTTTCTCACACAACCACAACCACACAATTCCACTTTATTCCACTTTCTTAATAGGCGTGCCAAGTCAAACCGGGAAGAATTTTTAGGAACGAAGGGAGTATTATTTAGATGAACAGACCAACTTTTTAGTTGACTTTAGAAAACATATGATGTGCCTACTAATTATGACTCTACTTTAATGGTAACAAAAATGTTCATTGCATTGGATCTTTTGTTATCATCTTTTTGTGGATCAAATCAAGTGAAAGGCGAGTGATTATGTCAACTTCAAGAGTCTTAAATAGAAAATAGATACTAATTTACTTTTTATAAATTAATAATCATGACATTCTAGTATTTAATTTTATTGTATTTTTTTCGGTAAATTTTGAAACAAAAATATCTTTTTATAAAGTGTTACTGTTAAATATTCCCCACTTTCCAAATTATTGATATGTTGGCTTTTCACATAGTTTAAAATAGAAGTTTATTTACACTCTTCTAGCTCTTTTAATATATCATGGATCGATTCATGTTAGCCGACCCCAAAATATTTTAAGATTAAAGTTTGGATGTTGTTGTTGTTGTAGTACAACGATCGTATTGTATATTTTATTAGAGTGTACTACAACTACTTTTTTGGTAAATTCTTTTTCAAAAAAGAAATGTTTGAGAATTATTTTGAAATAATGTGAATAGAAGAGCGAGACACTCATTTCGAAACAGAGGAAGTAATATTTACTTCAATCACAAATAATGAAATAATGCATATATTGCGTATAAAATTATAATGTACACTAATATTCATTTTCCCCAATCAAAGATATAAGTTCTCTAAAATCCATTAGCGCATCTCCATCCATTATATTATTAGAAGATTAATTTGATGATGTGACGATTATTTATGATATCATGATTGAGTGAGTAAAATTATTTGATGAGATTCTTTGAAAAAATAATTTGGGATTGAAATATGAATTTAGATTATTTCAAAATTATTGTGAAACTAGATTTAGTTTGTCCAGGATCCGCAAAAGATTTTGATTACTTTGAAATTATAAATGATGTAATTTAGAAGGTGTGTGATTATTTTGAATAATTCTATGTATCATAAAAAACCATTTGTTTTAAGTGGCAAATGTGGATGGTCTTATGATGTTTTTAATTGGTCTATTTTCAGTTTCAGCTTGTAACCGATGCATGTGTAAACCGTGTATAGTAATACTCGGTATTGATTTAGGGTGTGTTTGCAAGCTATAGTAAAAAGTGCTTTTTTTTTTAAGAAAATAGCCAAAAAGGGTGTTTGCATTCCCTGCTTTCAGCTTAAATTCAAGCAGTTATAAGTCAAAAGTTAGAAGTAGGCTTGGGGTGCTTTTAATTGCTTCCAGGTTATTTTGTAAATAACAACAACTTTAGGGATAGTCTTCACCATAATAATTTGTCCTTCTTCCAGCCCTACCCTTGATCGTACGCTCCTCCCTTCCTTTTGCTTGCGCCGGATTTCTCCTCCATTCCACACGGCGTTGTTGTCGAAACTTCCTGGTAAGGCCTCCACCATTCTTCATACCTCCTATTTTTTTTCGATCTGTTAATTTTATTTGATTCAATTCCATAGTTAGACCAGAGAGAACGTGGCGCCAAATAGATTCTTACTAATTCTAAGGAAAACAAAATGGACACGAGTAGTGGCTGAAGCTCTGGACGAACGAACACCTGAGTAGTTGTGGACGGCGGAAGCTTTGGAGGCCCTGAGTAGCGGCGAGATAAATTTTAGTAATCTCCAAGGATAGCATATGTCTGGTTTTATAATTTATGTTGCAAAGGTTATTTTTGTAATTTCAAAAATATATTCAATCATAATCACTTTTTTACTAAACACTTCAACTTTTACATTTCAATTAAAATCACTTTTATTCTCAAACACTACCAATTTTTACTATAAATCACTTTTCCAATAATCTCTTAAAAAAATCAATTCTAAAAAGCATAAACAATCGCAAAAAATATAAACCATCGCAAACACTTAGGGCCTGTTTACTAATAGAGATATTTTCCTGTTTTCCACTTCTGTTTTTCGTTCTCCAATTTTCTGTTTTTATTTTTCAGTTTTTCTATCTCCAATTTTCTATTTCTATTTTTTAGTTTTCCATTTTCAAATTTGAAAACATGTTCATCAATTTTTTCACACAGTTCTCCAATTCCACACCCTTGACCCCTACACTCTACCCATACTCCACCACAACCCTTCATACCCACCCATACCTACTCGTAGGGGTCAGGTAGGGAAGTTATGGGTGGGTGTGGGGTAAGGGGTATGGTCGGGGTGGGGTGGTAAGGTCTAGGGGTAGGGGTTGGGTGGGGGTAGTGGGTGGGTTAGGGTCGTGGTTAGGGTTAAGGGTGGGGTAGTGGGTAGGGTTGGGGTAAGGTAAGGGTAGGGAATTGGGATAGGATGGCGACAGGGTGGGGCCGGGGTAGGGAATGGGTAGGGTGGGGGTAGGATGGCGGTAAGGGTGGGGGTAGTGGGTGGGGTTTGGGGTTGGGGTAAGGTAGGGGTAGGGTAGGGAGTTGGGATAGGATGGCGGTAGGGTGGGGTCGGGACCAGGGTGGGGCTGGGGTAGGGAAGGGGTAAGATGGCGGTGGGGGTAGGATGGCGGTAAGGGTGGGGGGTAGTGGGTAGGGTTTGGGGTTGGGGTAAGGTAGGGGTAGGGTAGGGAGTTGGGATAGGATGGCGGTAGGGTGGGCCCGGGATCCGGGTGGGGCCGAGGTAGGGTGGGGGTAGGATGGCAGTACGGGGGTGGGGGTAGGATGGCGGTGGGGCTGAGGTAGGAGGCATGTGGTAAGGGGTAAGGTAGGGTAAGTGGTAATATACGAGGGGTGGGGGTGGGGTAGGGTGGGTCGGGGGTGGGGCCGGTGTGGGGTCGAGGTGGTAGGGGTTGGCGGTAGGGTAGGGTGGATCGAGGTGGGGTCGAGGTGATAGGGGGGTGGCGGTAGGGTAGGGTGGATCGGGGTGGGGCCGAGGTCGGGGCATGTGGTTGGGGGTGGGGTAAGGTCATTATAGGGAAAAATGGGTACGCGGGGTGGGGGTTTGGTGGGTAGGGTAGGGGTAAGGGGTAAGGTACGAGGATGGAGGTACCGGAATGAAATCGACATCGGAGCGGGACCGGACCCACCACTAGGTGTAAGTATGCAAATTCATTGCAAAGGCACTGTAGCATCTGCGTTTTCCAAATTTGGAAAACTAGTAAAAGTCATTTCTCCAAATCATTAAAGAAAAGAGAGACATGTTTCATTTTTTCCGTTTTGGAAAACGATTTGGTAAACGCGTTTTTCTTTTTTCCTTTCTCCAGTTTTCCAGGAATTTCTTTGGTAAACACGTTTCCTGTTTTGTGTTTTCCAGTTTTCCAGTTTTCTGGAAAACTGAAAAATATTTCTGTAAACAGGCCCTTACTTACTCCAACTCTATAGTCTATCTATAGATGAAATTGACTGAGATGCATGGAATTTAGAAACCGAATATTTCCAAATTTGGGTTTTTACTACCCATTCATTGCTCATCGACTCATCGGTGGTGCAGTGGCGGTCTAAAGGCGAATGTCCCAATGGGAGTACATCAGTCCCCAGTTCCTTACTTGACACAATTTGGTGTTAGTTTTGGCAGACAATGCGTGCCCGAGAATTCCGCAAAGAACTAGAGTACATATTCCTCTTTCATCATCACAGCCCATAAAGCGAGGCCGCAGACGAGTGACCGGAGACGGAGAGCGCAGCAACATCATTAAAGTCTGAATTTTTACCATTGTTGTCAAAAAAGAAAACTTTCTCCCTTCACTGAAGCCTTTCGTACTCCAGACCTACCTGGATCCGATCTAAACTGCCCCCTCTGAACTTCTCATTGCTCCGTGTTGATAACTGTATACAATTACGCGCTCTGTTGGTCTCGATCATCCTGTCATCATCCCAATCAAGAAAACGTTCAATCTTTATGTGAATTTGATTTGAACTGGTCAATTAAAGCCGTGAGTTACTGAAGCTAGGGTTCCTCGGGAGAAGGGTGTCAGATCTCTAGTTGAGGCTTGTAAAAATCAGGGCTTTTTGATCTTTGGCAGTGTCTTTTGGATACGGGTTGTGTGTGTGTGTGTGTATGAGGATTTGGGGTTGCTTGTGTTTCGGTGAAGAAGAAGAAGAGCATAGGGAAGGAATAAAGGGTATGCGAGAGGGAATCTCTGGGTCTGCAAGTAAGGATATGGAGAATGACGAGTCTCAAAACTTCAGAATAGGTTTTCAGTTGGACGAACAGCCGGTCGAAGAAGTGGAGTTATTGTCACGAGCTACTGTGGACAATGCCTATCACCATGAGGGGCTTGGGCATGATATAGCATTTGGTAGTGAGAGTTTGCAAGCTTATCATCAATTGGGATCAAGAAGCAGTAGTAGCAGTCATAATGCTGTGGGCGTTAATTTGAATTTGAGCTTGAGTGATGAGCCTTCTTCCTCAACAGCATTAAAGCAAGATAACTCCGATTCTCATAATAAAAGGCCCAAAGTTCAACCCTTTTCACTGTAATTCCCAATTCTCACTCTATCTCTCAGTTTACATTACCCGTGGTGATTTGTGCGTAATTTAGTTTCATTTATACAAAAAAACTATATTTGCATCACCTCTTACCCTAGGTTCACATAGACATGCACATATATGACTCTTGTTCTCACAGTTGTCCTGTCATGTCATTTTCTTGTACACACAGCTGAGTTTCTCATGCCTTTGCGACAAAAAATGAAATTTTGGTGTAAAAGCTGGTGTACAGTCATTTTTATTATTTATTTCCACGTGTAACTCATTTGTCAATACATAGTGTTAGGTTTTTTCACTGAAGTTGGTTGGTGCTTTTATTGTGATAAAATCCAGAGTCTTCAGTTTTGTCTCAGGAATATTTTCTTATTGTTGTTGTACTACGTCTAAGTGGAATCCAACTGTCTATTAAGAGTTTGTATTAATCCCAACATAGATTAACAAGTTTAGTTGTCCAAAACATACAACTGGTGAAAAAAGAAACTTACTCTGTGCAGTGATGATTTAAGGAGCTCTTACTATGCTTTATTCAGGTCTTTGTACGCTTCTATCAAAGGAAAGGGTTTAAGTTTTTAGTTGGCATCACATATATTACTAATCTATAAATCTAGATGAATTTGAATCATTTTTTCCCTTTCAAATTTGTTCTTAATTGTTTGAATGCAATCCATCAGATGATAAAATATTGTTGGCGTACTGCCCGACTTGTTATTTTCTCTTCCTCATTCTGTCATTGGTATTAAAAAAGAAAGGGAACATGAGTCCGGTCATCATTCATGCTTATTTGTTCTTTTTTCTTGCAAGTGTGTTTGAACTACAATGTATCAATAAATACTCCACCATCCCATTATGAACTTCAACTGTTTCCCTTTTTTGGTTGTCTACTTGTCTCACAATTAACTTCACTTTCCTTTTAAGTAAAAATATATTTTCTTAATTAACGTGGCCAATATGATGTTTGTATACATAATGGATTTTACTATAAATGAACTTGCAAACTTTTCATTCAGTTTGTATTATTCCTTGCCTTATTTACTGTAATGACTATTGAGCTGTTGCAGTGATTGGGATAGTCGTTTTCTAGAAGAGTTTCGTTATAGTCGTCCCATACATGATGTCAGTGACGAGAATCCACCAATGTTCACTGCTGTTGATGACCAAATAAATGATGACAGTTCAGTAGAGGATTTAGAAGCTCGGATGTATCTTACAGATGACTTATTGCACATGGTATATCCGTGCACATAACAATAATCCAATAAATATTCACTACTTTTTAGCTATTGTCAGTGTTATCATTTATGCTTATGAGTTTGAAAACATACTTCCGATGTGCTTGCAGGTTTTCTCATTTTTGGGCCAAATTGATCTTTGTCGAGCTGCAAGGGTTTGCAGGCAATGGAGGGCATCCAGCTCTCATGAAGATTTTTGGCGTTACCTCAATTTTGAGAACAGGCTCATATCCTCTGATCAATGTGAGCTTATTATTATCATTAGGAAAGTTCACACAAGTAAACCCACCTATCAGTGGTCTTCCCATATAAATCTGAAATATGTGTTTTTCCAAATTACTCCAAGATTTATTGATAATCTTCTCAAATTGATCTAAGATAACCTGCGATCTACAAACTAGTAAAAAAAGAAAAAAACTTGGAATACTGAAGGGCCCAGGTATCATAAGGGTTTAAACCTACTCGGTTGACTCCATTCTGTGTAATATTTTCTTGAGAGTGCAATAATACATGGAATTCTCACAAAAGCTTCAAGAATATCCTATGAAAATCCTCACTTATAACCATGTACAGTCTTTTCCCAAAACGCATAAACTGCAACCGTAAATGTTCTTCTGGATGGATCAAACCCCCATCCCTTGATTTCCTCTAGAATCTTTATTAACTTATCCTTGTGAACAACCTAGTCTGGTCTAGTGAATAAGGATATTGCTTAGAATCACGACCTTGAGGATTGTCTGAACCAATGATGTTCTAATAAATTGCATAGCAGGAGTTGAGGGCATTTTCAAACTATTTCTGATATCTGTTCTTTTGTCAATCCTTGAGATGTAATGGAGAATTAAAACATTTTCCTCATATGAGAAAAAAAAACGTTTTAGATGATGGAATATGGCTGCCTCACTTTTTAGGTATGTAGAAAAGTTTTTTTGGGGACTAGAAAACATTAAACATGTTTACTTTATCAGGTTTCCAAATGTAAATAAAAGAAAAGTTACTCATTTCAGAAGTATTTCAGATTTTTAAAGAGTAAATTCTTCTCAATTTATCTCAGATAACTAGGAAACACATTTTTACTTTCTCTGAAACATAATATAGCTCTCCAGAACTAAAAACCAATCACTGATGGCATCCACGACCACCCACATTCTTCACCACAACTCTTACAACAATCTGTGAAGCCCCACTACCACAGTTAGTGTCCCACCCCACTCCTATTCCCGGTAATTCCTGTCAATGCAAAAGAGTCTATACCACTAGTGACTGTCTTCATACAAACCATCTATAACTGTTGATGTTGTGGACAACCACCTATAACGATGAACATCACTGTCAACCACCACCAACGTCAACCACTGTTTTGCCATTGCCAGTGGATTGCCGGTCACCACCACCTTCGTCAACCCCCATCAGCCGCTGTTACGGCTGCTGACCATCGCTAATGGCGTTTAGGGCAGCCATCAACCACAATCATCATTGCTGTTCACCAGTGACCTCAGCCTCTATGAATGACCACTGCCACTTTGAACAATGACAGGAGGTGGTCACGTCGCCACATTTGTGATATTGGAAATATGTCCTGTTAGCATGTTTTACATTATATGATTTGTATCTCAATTGGATGAATAATCAAGATAAAACTGCTAAGATTTCATCTTCTTGTGATGCAATTCAATGTGCTCCTTGACATCTGTGAATTATGTGAACATAACTTGTCAAGTTTCACCAACCTCTTTGAAGAAGATCGTTTACCCTATGCAAGTACAATCTGTTCTTATACGTATGATTGTTGAGAGCAATCATGGGAGGACTGCTTTCTCTCTCTCTCTATATATATATCTACTTCTGAACTTCTTCGTGGCTGTTTTCATGTTAATAGGTTGTAGCAGACATTCGTTTCCCCTCACTATCATGTTTCATATTTGCAGTTGAAGATATTTGTGATCGTTATCCAAATGCCACTGCTGTTAATTTTTATGGTGGAGGCACACATGCTATTCACTCACTTGCACTGAAAGCAGTTTATTCTTTAAGGTAATTGACATTTGATTTTGGTGCATAATAATGATAGATGCAATGTATAACTCTGACTCTGTGATTTTTTGCCAGAAACCTTGAGGCTCTTACCTTGAGCAAAGGTCAATTTGGAGAAACATTATTCCAAGCTCTACCTGACTGCCATGCGTTGAATACCTTAGTCATTAGTGATTCTACTCTTGGAAATGGTATTCAGGAAATACCTATTTACCATGAAAGGTTGCGTTGCCTTCAGCTTGTGAAGTGCCGGGTACTTAGAGTTTCTGTCAGGTTAACGTGTAAATAAACATCTATAAGAAATGACAAGTTTAACTTGCATCAAACGTTTTCATTACAGGTGTTCTATTTTTTTCTTTTGCAGGTGTCCTCTTCTTGAAATTTTGTCCCTAAAACGAAGTACCATGCCCCATGCTGCTCTAAACTGCCCGCTTTTACGTGACCTTGATATAGCTTCATGTCACAAGCTCTCAGATGCTGCTATTCGTTCAGCAGCAACCTCATGTTCACTCTTAGAATCCTTGGATATGTCAAACTGTTCATGTGCTAGTGATGAAACACTGCGTGAAATATCCCTCACCTGCTCGAGTCTTCGTGTTCTTGATGCCTCATACTGCCCAAACATCTCTCTTGAGGTCAGTTTTAGTATCCGTTCTGTGCATGCCACCACCTGATGTCAAAATACTTTTCTATTAGGGCATGTATGAAAGGAGGAGAAAGCTAGGGAAAGAATGTAGGTGATGCATTTTTAGGAAACATCAATAAAAGGAAAATACTGAAAAGTGGAAGGGTTCGAAGGGATAGAAAACCTGATGATTGTTGTGAAAGTTCCACATAGTTCGGTTTCATACTCTATTATATTTGAATTGATTCCTTTGTGATCTTGCTTTCCTTTTGAAACTATTATGATTGTTGTAATTCTGCTACGGATAAGAAGTTCGCAATTGAGGAGAGAAACACTGTAAAATTCCAAGTTTCTTTGTGCCTTTGCATTAGTCCTATTTTATGCCTTCAGCTGCATACCCTTTTTTACCATAAGCAAACCAGCTTCACACACACAAATACCTCAACCGCTTATTGATGCAAGCCTTCTTCCATAAACATAACATTTTGCTTCTATTGCCGGGTGCTGAAATGGTCGGCTCAAAAGCTTTGACTGTGGATGTTTGTGCCCTCCAAACCGCTGTGCGATCTTTTGTCGGCTTGGCTGAAGCATTATATTCGTCGACCACCACACAATGACACAATGGCTGCATTGCAACACAAAATCGAATCCATTAGATGTTTGTTTACCATCTCTGTGTTAATATATAAAATATAAGTTTGAAGCTACCCTCACTAGATGAGTTAAGCCAATTTTAATTTGGTAGAACTTGTAGAAGTGCTGATCCGATTGTGGTTTGCCTGATGCTCTGATGGCCATAGTTTATTATAGCCTTTTGGGGTTGGTTTTGTCTTTTAATTCAACCCTTAAGTTGTCCAGCCTTGTTAGGATTGAAAGGGCATGTTAAAGTGTCCACATAAGATGTTTATCGTGTTTGATAAATATGTATGAAGTAAATCTGACCTCTTAGTGGTTCTCTCTTGGGGTGAGCCAAAGCTAGTGTACTCAAAACAAAGTGGTAGGGCAATAGATGAGTTCATCGAGGACGTCTATATCTTGTTAGTATGAGTAGGCAAGGTTCGTCCTTACCAAGTTCATTTTTAACTGCTATGGAGATGGTCTCAGGATTGACGTAGAACAACCCCCCCCCCCCCTGTTGAAGCCATCAATGTGGCTCGTGACTCTGAGTCTCTGACTAGAAAATAAAATCGCAAACTTTGTCTTTCCTTGAGGAAAGTAATTATATTTTTAGGAACACTCTATAATAAGAAACAGCCAGCTTAGAAAGGGGACAAATAGCCTGAGGGTTGGGTAAAAGTTTGAGGGTTGGATACACCTTTTCGCCTTAGGCTAACCACTTCTCGCATAAACATAACAGTAGGAAGGAAAGTACAGAAGATAATTGGAAGAAAATACAATTTGGTGTAAAATAAAGGATATAACCAAAACTGAATTATATATTTTAGATTATACTTATTGAAACTAATCTTTTTTATTTTTTATGTAATGCAAAGTCTAAGAGATTTAAGTGCATGTTTTGTTTTTCAAATTAGGGGGTGTTTGGATCTGATTCTTAAAACTGCTTTTGCTCCTTCAGGTAGCAGAAGCAGAAGTTGGAGTGTTTGGGTGAAAGTGCAAAAGTACTTCTGGTGCTCTAATTTACTCCTAGAAGCAGTTTTTTTAGAAGTTGGGGGAGACCTGCTTCTGAAAACTGCTTCTCATTATGCTTCTGCTTTAAAAAAGAAGCAAAAGTAGAATTAGTTCCAAACACCCCCTTAATCATATTCCATATTTCCTTCCATTTTCCAAGGCTTAGACAAAAGTAAAAAATAACTTTCCTTATCATTTGTTTTTCCTTCTCTAGTATTTTCCAACAGTACCTTCCTATACACACTGACACTTTTTGTTTGGATACCACACTGACTCCCCCTTTTCCTTTGCAGTCTGTTAGGCTTACAACATTAGAAGTGCTTAAGCTTCACAGTTGTGAAGGAATTACTTCAGCTTCGATGTCTGCTATAGCTTTCAGCTATACTTTAGAGGTATGACCCATCAATGTCTCACTCTTATTATCACCTGCTCATTTTCTTAAATATTCTAATACATACTACGTCTGTGGCTCTGTCTCAAAGTGAAAGTAACAGTTGCTATTCACTGGTCCATACAGTTCACCTCCTATGTGAAATTTTATTTATCATATTTTTATCATATTTAAATTATTTTTTTGCAATTTCATAGAATTTTATGATGTCTTAGAATACGTTGATATTAAGTTCTCATTCTAGTGATAATAATGCCAGTAAAGAGCTTATTTTATCATCAGTCAAGCCTCAAAATCCACCATGTTATTTTCATTTGGTGACAGAGAGTAGTGTTGGTACTTGGTAAACTGTTTTTTTAATGATTAACAAATTGTAATATTGGAAATGTATAGGTTCTGGAGCTTGATAACTGCAACTTGTTAACAACAGTGTCTTTGGATCTTCCTATGCTAAAAAGCATAAGGCTCGTGCATTGCCGCAAGTATGATGCTTTCGTTTTCCTGATAGCCCTTGGGGAAATGGACATTCTTTCTTAAGCAGTTATATGTCAAATTTGCATTCCCTTGTGGTGGCTCTGATCTCTCCTTGCTACTGATTTGTTTTCATTTCAGATTTGCTGATCTGAACCTACGAAGTGATAAGCTATCATCAATTACCATTTCTAATTGTCCTTTGCTCCAGCGAATTAGCATCACTTCAAACTCTCTCAAGGTGTCTAGCATTTGCGAATGTTCCATTTTAGTCGAAGAGAATATCCTGTGTTGGTCATGAACATCTGTAATAGTGATTTAATTATTACTAATTGTGTATGCAGAAACTGGTGTTGCAAAAACAAGAATGCTTAATCACCTTAGCATTGCAATGTCCCAGTTTGCAAGAAGTGGACCTTGCTGAGTGTGAATGCCTGACAAATTCTGTCTGTGAAGTTTTCAGAGAAGATGGTGGCTGCCCTAATCTGAAATCCTTGGTTCTTGATAATTGTGAGGTTTGTAGTAGCATTTCTTGTCATTGTTCCTATCACCCTGGTTACCCGACTTGCTTTTGCTAGATGTTGTTGGGGTCCATGACTCATTTTGCTTATATCATTATTTAGCTGATCAATGAGTACCATATTGTGCACCAAATTGTGGTACATCCAGTATTTTGTTTTGGGTAATCTTATATCATGTTTTGCATACAATATCGTGAGTGATCAATGAGGTAATGTGTAAACATGAGATTTCAGTACAACTGGTATGAGTGGTCAGTGAGGGTAATGCGTGGACTTGAGATGCGCTCTCCTTTCTCCTGCTTCTATTTTCTATTTCAAGCAATTTTATATTTTCTTTTTTGAATTCTAATATAACAAACAACAACATCCAAGCCTTAGTCCCAAAAGATTTTGGGGTCGGCTCGTTTTTGAATTCTAATACTCACTCCGCCCCATTGAAAGGTTCTCGTCCGCTATTCTCCGGTCAACATGAATTGTTTGTAATGTTTTACTTTATATATATCCAACTTTTATCAAATTTAACTTTTCTTTTGCGACATTATAAAACTTTTAATGTAGTTTCTGAATATGTAAATTTTATTTACTAAAAATAATCTTATTAATGACAGGGATCGATTAACTTTACGGTCAGTCAAACACCGTAAACCGCGTGGGAACCTTTAAATGGGACGGAGGGAGTATTTTTTTTTAATTTGCATCTTCAAGATATCTGATTAAATTTTCAATTTCTTAAATTTGTTTGCAATGATCCAGGGCTTGACATCAATTGAATTTTCCTGTACTAAATTGAACACTCTTTCCCTAGCTGGTTGTCGAGGTTTAACATCACTTGAACTCAGATGCCCTTATCTTCAGCAAGTCTCATTAGATGGCTGTGATCATCTTGAAAGAGCTTCCTTTTGTCCTGTAAGTGGAATCATCCGTATATAGTTACTTGTATTTTGTATAATGGGATGTTTATTTACCCGTCTCTAAAGTGATGCCTACAATTTTACCAAGTGTCTTAATTTGCAATGGAGCCAAAGATTCACTATTTTTTTGGCTTGGGATTTGGGAATATGATGGAATAAAGCAAAATGGCTCACTAAACTGTCTGCGCTTCTTTGTTATGAAGCAGCAGTCAGTCTTGTAATTTTCGACGCGATTTTCACTATGGGTCATTCGGAAACAGTCTCTCTATGCTTTAGTACAGGGGTAAGATTGTGTACATTCGACCCCCATTACCCCACCGTTGGTGGGAGCCTTTGCGGCACTTGGGTATGATGATCTTAATATGCTTTAAGCAATAATTATTCTCATCTTGTGGCCCACACTGCCACCATAAATTCTATTTTGACTAACTCTTTCTATATGACACACTCATAAAATTTGTTTTTTGACAATGTTTTCCAAAATGTCAAAGTCGCCCCACATTAGACAAGGGTAAAAAACTAAAAATATGAACAAACAAATACTGAGTACAACCTTAGGCTACCCTTCATATCAAATTGACATTTTATGATGAGATCCTAAATCATAATACAAAGTTTCTCAATGTTTATTATGCCCTTGTTCAGGTTGGACTTAGATCTCTTAACCTTGGTATATGTCCCAAACTGAGTTTGCTGCATATTGACGCACCACATATGACATCACTTGAATTGAAGGGCTGTGGTGTACTTTCCGAAGCATCAATTAATTGCCCAGTCCTGACTGCTTTAGATGCTTCATTTTGCAGGTCATTTTGTTACTTTTCTGGTACATTCTCTTGGTAAAGTCTAGAAGTGTCTAGGTGGTGCTAGGCTTCATCAATTGGCCTAGGCACTGACTAATTATATCTTGACATATGGGTGAAGTGTCTGATAAGTCATAACTTGAATTTGAGGTGTTTAGCTTTAAAGACTTCTATGATCAAAGTAGACTTGTCATTTAGGTCCTGTATCTGTTCCTAAGTAATTCTCTACTTATTATTCACAAATTTTCTTAAGCTATATGCAATTATCTCTGTAATTTATCTTGTCATACACAATATTATACATAACTCAGAAGTTAGAATTGATGAAGTCTACACAAAAGGTTAAGGAGAAAATATTTCTAGGACCTACTAATCTCTGCCTAGTGCCTTTTATGATAGAGTGTCCTTGTTAGGCTATTACTAACTTTGTGCCCCTGTGTATCATACTGATGATGCTACTGCTCGTTTTGGTTCTTTTTGCAGCCAACTTAAGGATGACTGTTTATCTGCCACAACAAATTTGTGTCCTCTCATTAAGTCATTGGTATTAATGTCATGCCCATCAGTCGGCTCTGATGGACTCTTGTCTTTACGCGGGCTTCCAGATTTGACTTATCTTGACCTATCCTACACCTTCCTGGTCAATTTGCAGCCTGTTTATGACTCTTGCTTGCAGTTGAGGGTACTTTTCTTTCCGCGGACCTTTTTTTAAATGTTTTTATTGCAGTTCAATCGTTAAACATGCATTTTTATTATTTATACCTAGATATTTATATACACATGTGGGCTTCATAGTAAAGGCTTACATATAGGGAAACCTTCGGCCATTGCACTCTTGTTCAAATACTAACTAAACATGATTTGGTTCCCACTAGGTTGGGTTTATTAGTATTCTCCCTTTTGTTTGGTCTTTAGTTTCTAGAATAACCAAATAGTGTTTAGAGTCTAGATTTTTCACACGAGCAATTATTTCTTGAATTGTCTTGTACGTTGTAATATCTAGAGATGAAAATTTTCTAGAATTGGTGAAGTCTATAATTTCTCTTAAGAGCCCTGCACATAGAGATGCCATCTTACCGCGCTTTATCAAATTAAAAATAACATGAAGCCCTTTATAAAGTTGAGTCTTTAATTCAACTGCTTGCCCCCACACCATCAGTAACTGCGAGAAGTAGTTGCAGTAGTTATGTTTATTCATTTTCACTGCATTAAGTATAATATTTTTGTTACAACTTCTCATTCACATTTCATAATTATTACATATGGGGATCATGACACTTTGTCTCTGAGTTATACCCCTTATGTGATGTCACAAACTCTCCTTTGTCAGTCCTTTAAGTTATCTCAAAGTGACCTTTTCAGTTTTCAATCTCAAAACCGTAATTGAGGAGTACTTAAATAGCTACATCTGGCAAGTGGAGGACTGAAAATGTTGACACTAGCAACCTGCGTACTAAAAAGTGTACCAATGATATACCTCGGGGACAAAAAGTGCTATATTTTCTTTTGTATTGGTATCTTGTTATAAACTGCTGGTCCTTATTCTGCTATCGTTCATATAGGTATTGAAATTGCAAGCATGCAAGTATCTTAGTGATACATCTTTGGAACCTCTTTACAAAGAAAATGCTCTCCCTGACCTGATCGAGTTGGACTTGTCGTATGGGACACTCTGCCAGTCTGCCATTGAGGAATTGCTTGCTTTCTGTACACATTTAACCCACGTTAGCTTGAATGGGTGCATAAATATGCATGACTTGGATTGGGGCGGAAATGGAATTTCTCATACAGCGTCGACATTTGCATCAGCTGTATGTGGCATCCGCATCACAAACAAACAGCTAACAAATCGTTTGCTGCAGAATCTCAACTGTGTTGGCTGTCCTAACATCAAGAAGGTGGTAATTCCCATGGCACGATGCTTCCTTTTGTCATCACTAAATCTGTCCCTCTCTGCAAATCTGAAGGAAGTCAATGTTGCTTGTTCCAACTTGTCTTCTCTCAATTTAAGGTACACTAATCTTCTTCCGTAGTATGACTAGTACTGGTTATTCGCCGTGTTTGTTGAACGATACGATTACTATTGATCAACTCTTTTCTTCATTATCAGCAACTGTTGTGCTCTGGAAATATTGAAGCTTGAGTGTCCCAGATTGAGCAACCTATTCCTTCAGGTGAATATGTCTTTCATGTTCCAGCTTTTAATCACAACGAAATTGCATTTTAAATCCCTCTAATTGTTTTCAAACATGTTTCTGAGACATGTATTCCAATATTTGTTAATTTAGTCCCTAACTGTTACTTCATTCATTTATAGTTGCAACATTCCCATTTCCGCCCTTGCCAACACACAACTTTGACCATCATTATTTTTATTCTCTATTTAAAAAATTAAAAATCAGATTATTAAAATTTGTAATGAGATTAATTCAACAATATTTAAAAAAAGTCTCATACATTAATAAATAAAATGTAGTCAAAGTAGAGAATGTGAATAGTTCCAAATTGTCAATTTTGCAACTAAAAAGAAACAGAGGATAGTATAATTTAGATATAAAAAGTATCAACCACATTATTCTGCTTTGCAGTTTGCATAATATGTGTGCGACTTTCTCATGTCCAGTGATAATGGGGTGGAGGCAGTCAGATATATGTTGGAATTCTCGGCATTCTATATTGCCAAGAATGTCACAGAAACCATAGACTCCATACTAAATCGTTATTCTAACGGAGGTCTAATTTTCATCTCAGTTGTAACTATCAAGGGACTAAATTCACAACACCTAAATGGCAGGTCTATATTACGTTATGTAACCAATGAAGGATTAAAAGTGTGAATTTTCCATTTGATATTTTGTTAGGGGGTATCTTTGATGCAAGTAATCACTTAGGGTGTTGGTAGGTGGCATTGGTAGGTGGCAATTTAATCATATCATAAACCATTATGAAAAGCTTATTGAAACCTTTCTTACCACTGTTGCCCTTCAGAACAAGTAACGTTTTCCATGTTACGTTTCTCGTTTTACAATTTTTTTTTTTTGTGTTTATTTGTCGGTGCAACATAAAAGTGTCCTCCCTCCATCCCAATGTAAGGTTCTCGGTATAAAATTAACTCTTTGGTAATATTTGAACTAATATTAATTATTTAAGCTCACATATTTAGAGACTACACTAAAAGTTCTATTTAACCTCAAAAATTAAATTCCAATGTGATATAAAATTATTGTATAAAATCAGTCACTAAAAGAAAGTTACATAGACAGATAGACGGCATCAATAGTGTATGGAACCTTAAATCGGGGTGGAGGAAGTCGATATACAGTGTACTATTTATTATTTCTCGCGATCTTGCTCCTGCTTTATCCTGTTTTGCCTCACCTTGTTTTGATTTGTCCGGTTTTTTCTTTGGATTAATAATCACTAGTCTTGCAACATTGATGAGGAAGCTGTTGAAGCTGCTATATTCGGGTGTACCATGCTAGAGACGCTTGATGTCCGCTTTTGTCCGAAGGTAAGGCCGTTTTATCTATGTTTTCACTACTACTATTGTTTCGACAGCATTTAATATGCATATTGTACTTGCTTGTGGTTTGTGACAGATATGCCCATTGAGCATCGGGAAGTTGCGAGTTGCATGCCCCGGCTTGAAACGCATCTACAGCAGCCTGGCACCCCCTTGATGCTCAAATTGCAACTCCACCACGTCTGGGATCTCCAATCCATGCTTTCATCAATTTCCAATTTTCACTTTTGGTTGTTCAAGATCGAAGGCGTGTCTTCTTATTATTTGTGATTATCTAAAAATAGCACTTCTTTCATGTGCCTTTATCAAATTCCAATAATGCTTCATATTATTACTATTACTCGCAACTCGCAAGTCGCAATGTTGATTCTTTAGCGACCAAGGGTTTGTAGTTGATAGATGTTATTCAATAAGACATATATGGCAAAATAGAATGCCAAAGTAACCCGAGGTTGTATTGTATATGCATAAAAGTATAAAACTTGTAGTCTGTGAAAATGTACACTGAAATATGCAAAACTTTTGTACTTGTACTCTTGTAGTATAAACATTCAAAGTTTTGGCTTTCACAACCTGAGTTTTTTTGTGCGTTGATACTAGTTGCCATTGATGGGTGGTGGACTGGTGGAATCTGAACTACAATTGGATATATTTGAGCTATGGGTGCACCAGCTTGTGGTCTGGGATTGGCATCGGCACTGTGCCGGGCTGCTGGCCTAGATTGGGACTGAAATAGCGGTTCTGGTAGAGTGGTAGGTAGGTACCTGATTGGGTTTCTGGCAGGCCCGGACTCGGGTGTGATAAATGTGGACTGGACCGGGCCGGGCCAACCGGCCCGGAACCGGACTGGCCCGCTACTGTGCGGGCCCGGACCGGCCCGGTGAACCGGTTCGTGCCCGGTTCGGGCCTCCTGGCCCGGTGGTAAAGCGGTCCGGGCCCGGGCCTCCAGTTTAGTGAACCGGCCGGGCCGGGCCCGGTTTGGGCCGGAAATTAATTTTTTTTTTTTTGGAATTTTTTTTAAGTTTTGGGTTGGATTAGGTATTTTGGGCCATTTGAGGTGGTTTGGGGTGGAGAGGGAGGGGTAGGGGGTTAAATAAGAGAAGAAGAAAAAAAATTAAAAATCCGGGTGGCCCGGCCTGGCCCGGTCTGGCCCGGAACCGGACCCGGAACTGCCCACCACCGGTTCGGGCTCGGGCCTCATTTTTCTGAATCGAGGCCCGGCCGGGCCCAGGCCCGAACCGGGCCCGAACCGGAACCAGTCCACCTCTAGGTTTGGGCAGTCCGGTGGAGTTGGGGGTAAAATTTCCTACACGTTTTCTCTCATACTTATATTCTCAAATTCTCTCTATTCTCATTTTATTAATAAATTTAGAAACATGGAGTTTTGACTCAATTGCGGCCGTCTCCCTAGAGCTTAAGGTTTGATTCTTGCGTAGTTTGCGCCTTTTCTTCGAGGAGTTGGCTTCGGCAGATTCCTTCGTTTTTGTTTGCTTTGCAGGATAGTTTGGGTTTGGATTCAGGGTGCCAGTGGGAGATCGCCGCAAAGCACCGAGAGGGAGGATTGGGCTCGGTGATGTTTTGCCGTGTGATGAGACGAAGGCCTATTCAGCCTTGTTTTCGGATGAGATCTGTCATCCGCTTCAGTGAAGCGGGAAGGCAGATGGAGGCTTCAAACAGCTGGGCAACGAAGGATAAAGCAGCTGGTGGCAATTTTGCTATACGAGCGGGACAAGGAGGAATGAAGGGGCTTCGTGTATTCCAGATTTTGATCGTCAATGGAGAATCAATTGGTGTGGTACCGATGGTACGACCCCCTTCAGAACCACCGCCAAGGGTTGATCGACGCGATTTGGAGTTTGCTTATTTATCTTTTCTGCATTTTAATTTTCAGGTGAAGACGTTTGTGTTGTGTTGTTATTTTATTTTATGTTGTAAGACTCTTGCATTAGGTTTGGGGAATGAGAGGTCTACGGTAATCATCATTGGCTGTATGTTGCCCAATTTAGGTCTAGTGAGTTATATTGATTTGCCAAAGGTGATTAACTCAGAGTCTCAGCCAAGGGCGGATGGTTACATGTGGTTCTTTTGTTATCATGTACCCCTGCTGAATGCTATTTTATTAATCTAAAGCCATTTTGACGATAAAAAAAAAAATTCTCTCTATTCTCAGTTCTCTACTCTTATTCTCTAATTCTCTTTACATAGTGTTGGATTCGGGCCGGGCCACCGATTCTGTATACGTGGGCCCGAAACCGGTCCGTCCCTTTGCCGGTTCGGGCCGGGCCGGGCCACCTGCCCGGGTCACAGGCCGGGCTACCCGCCGGGCCGGGCCGGGTCATGTTTATTTTTTTTTTAAATTATAGTTTATACAAATTCTTATTAAAAACAAAGTTCAAGTGCATTTATTTGAAATATGAATTACATTTGAGAATTGAGAAAAAATTACAATATGAAATACATTTTCTAATAAATATCAATCGGAATTTCCGCTACCGTTGTTTGTTGTTTTGCCTTTGTCACATGACTTCATATGTTTTATGCGCATGACCGCATCCCGTATCCGTGTGAACGCCCCAAGCTACACTCTTTCTTGCGCCACTTGCAAGTTGCCCATCACAGCCCGGTCTTCGGGTCCTTCCACATATCAAATTTTTTTTGCATAAGGGAAGACTTACTTTCCATCTTTAAAATGGTAGATGTAAATTAGTGGTGGACTCGGGTCGGGCCACCCGGCCCATGGAACAGCCCGGCCCGCTACTGTGCGGGATCGGGACTGGCCCGGTTCTCGGGTCCGGGTCAGGCCTGGTCCGGGCCAAATTGTTTTTTTTTTTCATTTGTTGGGGTTTGACGTGCACTTGTCGTGAGGTGCAATCAAAATAAATATCAATACGACACTAATACGTAGTATAGCGAAGTAAGGTTCGTATCCACAGGGAAAGGAATATTTCTCTTTTTAATTAACTAGTAACAAAAAGGGGGGGTTTAGGTTTGAGTGATTTAATTTAATTAAATACGAAGATGAACGAGTTATGTGGTTTAATTAATGAGAAGGAGACTTGGCTTTGCTTTTATCCACTTAATGAAATGTTCGTCGATCCCGGTTATATCTTTAACTATCTTCCTCTCGAATACTCAATCGAGGAGTATATCCAATTCATCGAGGGTAGTTATTAATAACGAGACGCGTTCATTAATAAAACTTACCACCGAGTTAATATAGAACACGCGTCGTATATTCACTCGATAGTAGCAATAAAATCAAGATGAAAACGATTGAGATTGATAACCTCAACACAAGCAGTTTATTGGTTTAATCAATATAATTAATTCCCCTTGGTTTATTAACCATGAAACGCATGCATTAATAACCCAAGTTTACTACCGCGAAAGGACCGAATTAATAACAAGCGTATTAATCGACCGATTCTAGTAATAATTAATATATGAAACAAAACTAGTTGATCCTTTAAGTAATGTTCAAAATATTAATATGAAATATGAATAGGAATTAATTAATACTCAAGGAAGAATATTAAAGAAGATGAATCCTACTATAGTTAATATCAAGATGTTAACTAATTGTCATCTTAGTAACACTCCCCAATATTAACATAGAGGAAGAAATAGCTATTACTATAACTAATGTCAAGATGTTAACTAATTGTCATCTTAGTAACACTCCCCAACATTGTTATAGAAATAGTATTTAAAGGAAGAATTAATATTCAAGGAAGGAGATTAAAGAGAATAACTCACAACTTACAAATTCATTAAGCTTCAAAGTAGCAAAACCAAGATGGAAGAGTTTAGCTCCTCATTTGGAGACTAAACATGATAGAAAATATAAAGAAAACACTAATCTAAATTGAGCTAAAGAGTATATGTGAATTGGTGATTTTATTGTGAAGGAAAGGGGTGTATTTATAGACTTTTGGGAGCTGCAGGGTCTGATACCCGATCGGGTATAGAGGATACCCGATCGGGTATCTTAGGAAATTGCCCAGAAAGTCACTTTTCTGGGCATACCCGATCGGGTATGTCGGCATACCCGATCGGGTATGTGACAAATCTTCACGAAAATTTGCTCCCACGATCATTTGTTCCCGGATTTGATTTGCACAATCGAATCAAGTGAATACCCGATCGGGTATAGGCAATACCCGACCGGGTACATGAGTATTTTTTCCAAATCGAAATCTTTCTTGTCTCCTTGCACTTTCCTTGATCTTTTAAGGTCCAATCTTGATCCCTTCGATGATCTTTGACCTGTTTAGCTCAGAATAATCCTAATCTAAACAAATTACAAATAAAAATGAAAATAAAATATTACACCAAAAGTGTGTAATTTCCACAACTACAACTAATAAAAACTAGTTAAAAATACAAACATACAATCGAAAATTACACGAATATCAACTCCCCCACACTTAGCTTCTTTACTCGTCCTCGAGTAAAGTCAAATGTTTAACACTTCCAAATCCTCAAAAGTTCAACAATCAACAAGAAAAAGCAAAAGACCACCAAGGATAAAACATATTTTTTTTACATTGAGTTTTTAGCTCAATAAAAAATAACATCTTCTTGGGTTTCATGGCCTTCTATGCTCATTTTTTTTTCTTCACCTCTTTTATTCTTCTTTTCCGTCAAGAGATTAAATGATGTTCTGCAAAAACAAATATCTCTCGCATATCTCTCATTTTGCCTAGGAGCCTTTTCAGGTTTTCATCCTAGCATCTCTTTTTGTTTTTCCATCCTTTCCAATTCACTCATTTTTTTATAAGCCATTTTTGCTTAGATTGCCCGTTTCTGGGTTTTCAACCTAACTAGCATTTCTTTTCTTTTCTTTTCTTTTTTTTGATTTGTTTTTTTTTTTTTTTGAAGAAAATAATGCCAGTTACAAGGTATCAAACTTAAGTACGTACCAATGAGTGACTCCCCTCACTTAGCTCGAAGCACTGTCCCTAGTGCTCGTCTCCGTTATTACCGGGCAGAAACGAGCATCTTCATAGCCCAGAATTCGCCCCCTAGCATTGGTTGGTTCCTCTTTGGTGCCATCTTTGCCAATTTTTTTTAAAGCTTGGATTTGGACTTGGGGTTGTTGGGGTAAGGTTTCGGATTTTTGATTTTATGGGGAGAGGGTAGGAGTGATGGGTATGAGTGTGTAGAGGGGGGTAAAGGGAGAATTGTGGTGGTGATTTGGGGTGATTTGGTTGAGGTATGAAGGAGTTAGGGGAGATTGAAGGTTCGAAAAATGGTGGTTTTGGGGAGAGAGGTTCGAATTTTTGGAGGTTGGGGAAGATGAAATGGCCGAGGAAGGTGCTGCTCGAAGTTAAAAGTTCGCGTACCCGATCGGGTGGCCCGATATACCTGATCGGGTAAATTAATTCGAACTAAATTCTGATTTTCCAGAGTAATTCACCCGACCGGGTGACTTGAATACCCGACCGGGTATCACGTCGATTTTTAAAATTTGCTCAGGGGTTCTCACCCGATCGAGTTTGGGGGTATTCGATCGGGGAATTTAATTCGAAGGAAAAAATTTTAAATTTCCGTATTATACCCGATCGGGCCTTATGGATACCCGCTCGGGTTCCCTCTTGAAAATTTTCTTACTTCCCGATCGGGTTTCTTCGAAGCCCTGCCTTTTCATATGCACCCGATCGGGTATAGCAATGGTGCTCGATCGGGTACCCTACCCTGGGACGTGTTTTTGTCCAGTTTTAACCTCTTTTTAGCGCGGATCCGATCGGTTAAGTGATGAAGACCGATCGGAGGTTTTCCCAGGCTTTCAAAACATGGTTTTCCCTCATTTTTCTTTTGAGAATTTTCCCCATTCTCTCAAAGTTGATATTCAAAAACAAAAATTTTAAAAAGAAAAGATGAAAGATGCGTACCTAAGCATGGGTTGCCTCCCAAGAAGCGCCTTAGTTAACGTCGCGGCACGACGTTATATATATATATATATATATATATATATATTTTATTGTTTTTATGTGGGATCGTGAATATCCCCTGTTTCATTCTTTTTCTTTGGCCTTTTCCAGTAAGGCCGAGATTTCTTCTTTGTTATCACCTCAAACACAAGTGATTTACTTTCGTATTTAGGTGCCTCTTCTTTCAAAATAGATTTTTCTTGTTTAATTCTTTTAAAAAGTGAGGTCTCCTTGGCTTGTTTTCCAACAAAAATGTTTGGTGTTTGTGGTTCAAAAACATTTAGAGAACAAAGAGATTGGTCTTTAAATTGTTTTTTCGTAGAATCAAAGATGTTGAATTCTACCTTTTGGTCATCAAACTCCAATGTTAATGAACCATTAGACACGTCTATTTTTGTTTGGGCGGTTTTTAAGAAAGGTCTCCCCAAAAGGATGGGTGTAGTTTGGTTATCGGCTTCCATTTCAAGGATATAGAAATCAACAGGGAAGACCAAATTTTCAACTTGTACTAGCACGTCCTCTACTACACCCTTTGGGTATGTGCAAGACCTATCTGCCAATTGGATTACTACCCCGGTTTCATGCATAGGGCCAAGTTTTAGGGACTTGTATAATGAATATGGAATAACATTGATTGAAGCCCCTAAATCCAACAAGGCCCTAGGAAATAAAGTGTCCCCAATTTTGCATGGGATAGTGAACATGCCTGGGTCATTGCATTTTTCCGGGAGTTTCCTCTGGAAAATTGCTGAGACACGTTCACTAACCTTTACCTCTTGTTTTGCCTTCAATTTATCTTTCCTTTTCATTGTGCATAGTTCTTTTAAAAACTTTGCATAACGGGGAACACTTTTGATCAATTTGAAGAGTGGGATGTTTACCTCAGCATCGGCGAAGGTCTCGTAGAGGTCCCGATCATTCTTCAGCTTTCTTGTGTCCTTCAGTGCTTCGGGGAATGGAGGAAGTGGCTCATATGATGAAAGTGGAGGGGATTTAGTTTTCGTTGGTTCCCCCTCGTTTGGTTGAAAATCTTCTCCAGGATCAACCCCATTTTCAGATTGTTTTTCTTCCTCATGCACCTCTTTCAATGTTGGCTCATCCCTCAACATGATTGCATTAACATGTTGTCTCGGGTTTTGCTCCGTTTGAGATGGGAGTTTACCCGAGTCTTTTGCCTCAAGTCGGCTCACCGCAATTGAGATCTGGCTCATTTGATTTTCCAAGTTTTGG